TATATTTCTCAATTACAAGTTCTTAAATAGATAAAAGTTATATTAATAACAGAAAACATCAATTACTCCTAATTTTTCTGATCTAAACAACTCTACTAATCTTGTAGCCTAAAGACCAAAAAATAACGTATTTAACTCCTAAACACTAACAACAAACAAACCACTAACGCACAATAAACTAGTAATTGTATATATTATATATATATATTTGTGCCTCCACGTAAATAGAGTGTGACTCTAAAATTTCTGTCTTAGTTTAAGAAGGGTATAAGTTGACCAAAAAGATGAATATAAAGATATTTTTAGCAAAATAAGTGAAAACAAGATATTTTTCTAACCTTTTCTCATAGTTCACAGGTATTTTAATTTAAATCAATGTCCTGGTAGAATAAGGTAATTAGAGTAAGGTTGCGTATCGGTTGGTTCGATTTTGAAGTTTATCGGTTCAACTAATCGATTATCGGTTTGTAGCCATCCTAAACCGTTAAGAACCATTAAGATATTGGCTTATCGATTTATTGGTTATTGATCATTATCGGTTTAACCGTTAAGATTTGACACAAAAAATAAATAATTGAAAATCACTTAGAAACATGATGACAAACCAAATAAACCATGCACATGAGTTGATAAATTGTATCTTGCTAAAAAACAACACTAACACATTGTAGAATAACCGAAAGTTTGAGAGGGTCAGAAATAAAATATGAAACTAAATTCTAAGTCAAGGTTTTTATATACCAAATGGTATAAATTTAATTTATTAATTTACTATCGGGTTATCAGTTAACCCGATAAGAAAAAACCTCAAACCATTAAGAACCGATAACTCGATAATAAAAAAAAATCAAAACTGTTAAACCAATAATCCATTACCAATGAACCAATGACTTTTTTTTGGTTTGGATTATCGGTTTCGGTTTGGTTTTGAACAACCCTAAATAATTAGAGCTTAGGGTTTAGAAAACCTTCTTCTACTTAGTTGATTATCCTTATATAGAGATGTACGCCAAAGCCCTCAACATAATTTTGTAACAAATCTATGGTGTCTAAAGGAATATTTTCCGCATTATCGAATGATCTCTTCTCGGAAATCCTTTCTTTTCTAAATCTGAAATAGAGAACGACAACTTGTTTGGTTTCAAAAAAGCGGTATCGGATGATAAAATCATTGAACGATCACAAATTTGTATAAATACAATGTGCAAGCAGAAATTCATGTGCTCAATCTTGTAGAAACTTATTTAAATTTCACCCTGTTGTCAAATTTGCTACTGACAATACTAATTTAACAGAGTTTTATTTGCTTGTACCAAATTCTAGTATTATTTATTTTTCGTTCGTAAATCTTGAATCGAGATTATTAACCATTCTGCATTTAAAATGTTGCACTATTAATGAGGACTATTTAAGTCGGTTTCCTTGTTTGAAAGATATATGTTTTAATCGCGTTCATATTTATACCATAATTCTCTCCAAACTTATCCGTAAGTGTCCTTCAACCATGTGAAGAGATCATTTAGTGGAACTAAAGAAGGTATTGTAGGTTGTTGAGATAAGTATGCTTCTTGAAGTGGTTCATTAAATTTCATAGGGAACTTTTTGAATTTAGTACATCAAAATGGTCAAGTTCCAGATCTTGGTTCCAACCATTTAACCCTGTGAGAAGAAATCATACCGGTTGAATTAAAGAAGGTATTGTAGGTGGTTGAGGTAAGTATTCTTCTTGAAGTGGTTCGTTGAAGTTCATAGGAACTCATTTGAATTTAGTACATTGAAATTGTCGAGTTCTATGTGTTGGTTCTACCCGTTCAACCTGCAAAGAAATCATTCGGTGGAACCAAAGAAGATACTGTAGGTGGTTGAGGTAAGTATTCTTCTTGAAGTGGTTTGTTGAAGTTCATAGGAGACTCATTCAAATTTAGTACAATGTAATTGTCAAGTTCTGGTGGTTGGTTCCTACCATTCAACCTTGTGAAGAGATCATTCGATTCAACTAAATAAGGGACTGCAGGTGGTCACTACAGCAAATAATAAATTTTGCGATAATTATTTAGCAGTAACAATATAAGTACCACTTTATTATATTTAGTGTCAATAATAAAATAAAGATATTTATAATATTATTGCATTTAGCATACTGAATACAATAACATTAACTTAATTGTGACTAAATGTTTTTACGACACAAAATATTTTTGCTAAAAGAAAAATCTATTGCCACTAATGCCTATTTTGCTATAGTGGGTTGAGGTAAATATATTTCTTGAAGTGGTTTGTTAAAGTTCATGGGACTAATAGTCCCACGTTCAGCACCCGTGCTAACATCTTATTGTGAGAAAATCTTCTCTCAATTTTGTATCACCATAGCGAGAGTTTGAGTTTGATACTAAAGATTCCAGTTATTGCTTGTGGCATGTGCTTGTGATCCATGGGTTCCAGTTGGTTGTTGGGATATGTGATGTGATATTGGTTGTGTATAAGGATGAAATTTAGATAAATTTGGTTGATTTTGTAAGTTATGTTTTTGTAACTTTGTTTTTTGGTGAATCTTTGAATCTCGTAATCAAATTTTGAGGAAGAGAGGTACAAAAAGCATGAAGGAGATTAACAAAGGA